TTTATAGAAATATAAAAAGTTGCTTGATTATGAAAAACTAATTGATTTTACATTTTATTTATTGGTTCTAGTACTAATATACTGCTTGGTAGGGTTCATGATATATTTCTAATTGCATTTTATTGGTTACTTTGAAGAAATTATATCAAATATTGTAATATTCAATTCCAACCTATTTATTTCAGAATAGAACAATATCAAACTTAATTTTGTCTAGAATGAAAGCTTCGACTTCATCCAGCTTTTATAAGCCAATATAAAAATGTATAAAAAAATATTGATGCAAAACTTGAATATTGTAATATTCAATTCCAAACTATTTAATTCAGAATAGAATTTTATCAAACTTAATTTTGTCTAGAATGAAAGCTTTGACTTCATCATGCTTTTATATCCAACATAAAAATTTATAAAAAAAACTATTGATTTAAAAGATGATTTAATCATCTTAAGCACAAAAGTTCATGATGCAAATGTCTAAATTCGTAATTGATCGAATATATACATTAAACCATTCAACGCTTACAATTAGACGACGCTTAATGTGCTTTCAAGGTGTTTCATTAGTAAATAAATGAAAATGTAACAAAAACAAGGCAGTAATTGAGGTATAAAATTAAAACGATGGAATACATTCGAAGCAATCAAATTGTAATGTGAACATACATTTTTAATTGAGGAACATCAAATTGTATCAAGTAGATTTTTTTGGCATTTTGCAAATGAGTCTAACTACCTAACAAAAACTAACTCTTCCACTCATTGTTAGTTGAACAGTTATTTTTACGACAACCCATTAAAGTACAATACAATTTTTATTTTTCAGTTTGTTTCTATATAATTGCTAAATCCTTTCATTTATGCGTTATTAAATAACATAATTGAGTTACAATTAAAGCAACTACTATACAAACTGCTAACGGGATTCATTAACATCCTTCATAACTTTCCTATCGTTACCAACTAATATTGAATTACCAGCAAAATAATTATTATTTGATACTCGAGGGCATAATTTAATTTAGAAAATTATGATGAAATACAGTTATTATACTACAAGTTGGTAATATTAAGATGAAGTAATAAATATATATATATATATATATATATATATATATATATATATTAGATCCTAAGCATGATCCTGGTCATAAGATGTTAAACTTTTCCATATGGTTTAACTTTTTTTTTATTAACTTTTAGTATTTTAAAAATATGTATATAATATGTAATTTGCAAACTAGAAAATTTATAGATAAGCGAAAAATTCTGAAACTATGGCTCAAAATCCTATCTGTGAAAAGATTCGAAGCCCTATATGTAATACAGCTTAATGAATATTTTTAACAATAAATGCGACTAATGTGTTCTTTATAAATATTTCATTTAATTTTTTTTGAATGTAGAACTGATTTCAACGCAGTTTGTATAGAAACTCGAGCAGTTCGTATCTTCCTCTACTCTAGACATTTTATATCTATTTCCGAACACTATGAAAACAAACTTACTAGTTTTTCGAACATGATCAAACTATATGGTCATGAACTACGGAGAAACTGACTGAAACAAAGTCCGGTCCAAAAAGAAAAGAATCAAGTTTGGTCATTGCAAAAGTACTAAAAACTCTTTTAGAAAACTTTAAGGAAAATCCTTTCGTCTGGGAAAATGTTGGATATGACCGCTTACTCGTACGAGGATCGGTAAAACATACATTTTAGAAGTTGTTTTGTGTACAAAATAATCTGACTTAGTTCAGAAAAAAAGTCTGTTTTTAATATAAGTCCTGCATAAAAATATTAGTTGTGATGAGACGGAAACAAAATTCTGAGTTTCATATTGTTAACTTAAACAGTATTAATAATGTTAACTTCGTTCGTCTCTAATTGCTCGTTTATTGTCTCTAACTACACTCTCTACAATATTCATCTCTAGTTGAGGAAAAATACCAAAGTGTGGACAAATAGACAATGAATAACAAGAATAAAATAGTAGATTATTTTATGCAAAATTTTGAAATCATTATCGTTTCTGTTCTATTAATGTTTTTCTAATATAAAGTAATTTGTCCGATAAATCCTATGGATAAAGCCTAAGCATCTTTACATGAAACTTAATACGAAATAATTTTCTTTTTGCAAAATTAGGTTGTTGTAGATAATGATGAAAATCTCAGACTTCACAACAACGTAATTTTGCTTGAAACAAATCATTAGAGAAAAATATTACTGCGTAATTGAAAATTGAAACTAAGATGATGCTCAAGCATCCAAGACTTTTATAAAAAAAAATAATGATGGAAAAAGAAAAATACATTTAGTGTCTTAATTGAATTAATTGAATGAAAGCTTAATAATATTTTTAATGAAAAGTTTTACAATAAAACTATTAATTATATTAAATCGTAGTTTTTAGTGATACTATGGAATTATATCAATTAGTGTTTGTCGGTTTTCAAAAACCGGTTTTTTGACGAAAATTATGGAATTCGAAAACCGTTTTTTTAGTGGAAAAAGCCGGTTTTCACTGTATAAATGGAACATAACAAATATAGCCAAATATAAAAGATAGTAGCAAGCTAGCAAGCGTTTTGATTCGTGGAATCATATCGGTTCAATAGTATTTTGAATCGGTTTTCGGGTAAAATTTAATTTCGAAAACCGGTTTTTGTATAAACCATATAATATTGTCAAACGTGATCTTTAATGTAGCATCATAATTATTTGCCAGTAGAATCGCACTAATACGACACTATTAAAAACCAGAGGGTGTCGGATTAGTGAAAAGTTCGGATTACTAGATTATAGTTTAAAAACCATCAGATATTTGAAATAAAGGAAAAATTTCTAGCTGATTTCCACAAAGTTGTGGAGCGCTTTGATGGCGGGGGTATCGGATTATTGGAGTTATCGGACTGTCAAAGTTTCGGATTAGCAAAATTATACTGTCCACAAAGTTTAGAGCTGAATATAACCTTGATTATGCACTCATTGTCAGCACTCAAGTAACACAATTTTTGATGACATATATAAAATAGTCAAAGATAACTACGACTAGTGGTGTATGGCATCGTGCCTCAAGGCAAATTGCTGTAACTTCCTGTACCAAAAATATTTATTTTCTTAAAAAAAAGGATTAAATTTTTTTCAAACTTTGAAAAAATTAGATTCTTGAGAAATTTTTAATATTTGAAAAAAAAATTACTTTTTTTGGAAAAAAGACTTTTCGACGGACAAACCATGTTACGGAGTTCATATAAATATAAACAAAATTTATACATACGATTAAATTTACAATTATTCTTCATCTTGTCAATACAAGTAAAATGTTTTGGCACTTTTTGCCCCGTATCTTCGAAACGGCTAGACTTGCCTTTACCAAAAACTAATCCGCACGTCTTCTTATCAATAGAAATCCAATGTTTTTTGAAAAATTGAAATCGGTTGAACTGTGTTCCCGAAATCGTCGACAAAAATTTGTATCCGCACACACACAAACGCCCATACATCCATTTTTTTCTAAGGTATGCCAAAATGTTTAGAAAACTCTGAAACGTTTTTGCGATTACCATAACTTACCCTACGGGAAGTTGAAAATGCATTTTGTTGGTAGAAAATTATGATTCCATATATTGAAAATAAATTGCAAGAAAAAGTTCGAAGTTTTATAGTCATGTTTTCCCCAACTTCTCTTATTATTACCTCTTCCTTATCTCTTCCAAATTTGAATAATAAAAACTACTGTTAGCACATGGCCGATTTCGCATAACGGTCTAAAACTTTTAGGAAAGTTTCCCATTACGCACACCGACACGAATTTCATAGTCGCTAATGATCCAACTTCTTACGACACTTTGGAGGGAATATCATTCCAGAGGCCGTCTGCTCACAAACTTTGATAAAAAGAAAAATATTAAATTTTGGAAGTGCGAAAACACGAATTCAAGGTATTATTATATTTTAGCACGTTTTCTAGAGATTATAATGTGTTTTCAGATCGTGAAGAACCTAAAAGTTTCGAAAGTAATAAACTAGAAAATTATTTTCTTGTGAGGAAAGAATGGTGACATGATTTTAAAGTTGATTGTGTCTGTATAACTTAAAAAACTCATTATGTCTATATAACTCAGTTTTTTATATTTTTAATATTTTTTTATGTATCATTAGAATAAAGCAGATTTTAATTAAATCAAGATGAAATATCGTGATTAAAAATACCGCAGACGTAATAAGAAGCAATTGTACGCTTTTGAATGTTATCATATTCATTTTGTGACAACAAAAGATTTTATCTCATTTCTCGCCCGATAAGAGATGCGTTTAATGTTTAAAATTAGCATTTAGAAGATGTAGGAGTCGTTCGTGGGCGACTTCTAAATAGCTGGCAATGAGATGTTTAACACCTCGGATTATATTTTATATTGACTCTAATTCTGGTTTTATTGCCTTTTCAATATATTTATATATACATGATTATTTATTTATTTGAAATAAATAAATGTATTTACAACATTTAACATATACGCATAATTTAAAAAAATACTATTCAAGAACCTATTGGACCACTGTAATATTCAAAATACTAATTCAGTCAACTATTTTTAAGAATCAACACTTAGGAAATTAAATAATCAATAATAAGTTTTACGTTATAACGACCATGAAGGTGCAATTGAAATCACAACCGAGCATGAAGAATATGGCAATTAATTTCTTGTACTAATAGAAGTTACCAAAATTTTTTTTTTGACTATAAAAATTCTTCATCTCTTTGCAACAATTTCGGATGCAGAATGTAGATCAACTTTTGATAAAATTTCTTACTCATATTCTGTTCCATAGTATTTTAACAGTTAAGCGTTAATTAAAATATAGGATATAATAATTTTCGGTGACCATCAAAATCTTCTGGAGTTTGTGTAGGTTCATAATTTACTTGTTCTACAACATTTCTTTATATTAGCTAATTCATTCTTCATTGAGATTCTTTTCTCTTCTTTTCAGATTGTGAATCCCTCATCCGAAAAATGCTCGTATTAGAACCATCGCGTCGCTACACGGCCGAACAAATCAGGAAGCACAGATGGCTCCAGCAGCACCAGTACAATGATCCTCAGTATTCAAGTGCTGGTGATTTATCAGCAGCAGCTCAGGCCAACATCAGGCCCAATAGTCAGTGCGCAGAACCAAATGAACAAATTTTACGACTGATGCAAAGCTTAGGAATTGACCAAGCAAAAACCAAAGAGGTCAGTAGATGAATTTTAATTTAGTTTAATTTTAGTTCAATAACTTAATGTCTACATTGATTATTAAAAAACATCAAAATTATTATTTTCAGAGTCTGAAACTTAATAGTTATGATCATCACGCAGCAATATATTTATTACTTTTGGAAAGGCTTCGCCAGCAACGATCATTGTCATGTGATAGTCGGCCTCATAGTCCATTAGCTCAAGGAGGTGTGTTAATTATGATATTTGGTATTAATCAAAATCCAAGTGAAATTAGCTAAGGTATAAAAGTAATTTATTTTATAGGAGTGGGTAGTAGATCTCATTCGCCAACGCAGTCCTACGTACTTCAGCAACAATTTGGAAGCACATCCACTGAGCGTTCTAAATCGAATGACTCGGCCCACCAGCTTCAAATTATGTTAGGAACTAATGCTAATTTATCTGGAGATAATAAAACTGGTGAAACTAGAAGGCCGTCATCAGTTGCCGAACAAGCGATGAGAAGGACTCCTGCTGGAAGTGTTGATGCTTCACCTGTCAGGTACGGAATTTTAGAAGTTCTTAGTCCTAAGAATTCTATAAAATATTTTATAGCTTTGGTTTATGATAATACAACTTTGAATAATTTAAAATTCCAGGTTATCTTCTGAACATCAAAGTCCACGACATCAAGTTCATTCTCCCCATTTAAGTAGAGCTGCTCAGCACGCTAGTTTAGGGGATTATCACCTTCACCATCAACAAAATCAACAGTCATCAAATCAGCAACACCAGTCCGCAAATCAACAGTATAATACTAGGCCATCGCCAGTGCAGAATACTTCTGCTGATAGTTCTACAAGACTGCCTTTATTGACATCAAATAGCTTCGATTCCAAGACAAGAAGATTATGTAGCAGTGGCACTGATGGCAAAATAAGTTGTAATATGAACTCAGGTTATACAATGAGCGCGGAAGCTGCAAAATTATTGGTCACCCTAAGGCAAAGTCCTTTACCGCTCACAACACCGCCTTTTAGAGATTATATGAACCACATACAGGTAAAAATGATTTTTATTTACTTATTATTATAGAAAAAAAATGTTAAGGAATTTATTTGATAATGAGTCTGATCTGGTACTTTTTTCAGGCCTACGCATTTCTCCAGAACGCGGGTCAAGATTTGGTTAATCCAACTTCTTCACCGCAACATAGCAGTAGTCGCTCACACAAATCATCAGACTTTCATCAGCAATGTTCTTCATCAACTGATGAAGGCTGTGAAACTGATATGGAGGACCAAGAACGAGGCAATCAGGCAAATAATAATCATCACTCAAGTGGTTGCCATCAACAAGGACACCATGGTCACGGTAAGGATTGTAGTAAATCCTGTCGACTGTCGACTAAGTTGTTTAAATTATCAGTTTTGATTGTGTAAACTATGACATAACTAATAAGCCAATAATTTTAGGTTCCACTTGCGGCGTGCATAGGTTAAGTTCATATGCGAGTTCAAGTTCCAGTAGTGGAGTCGCCGTTGGCTATCATTCAAAATCTTTGAGCTGTGATTCTGCATCGTCGAGGAGTACATTATCAGCATTTGACAGTTTGGAAAGACGATTGTCTAGTGATTGTCCAGGTAAAATAAAAACATTTGGAGTTTAGATGAAGTTAGGTTTGTTATTCTTTTTGAAAAAAAGGGCGGTTATCATATTCCTCTCATGGTTAGTTCAGAAAACTCTTACCACAGATGTGGTTTGAAGTTTTATTTTTTTCTTATATAATTGTATAGCTGTGGTTGCTGCTCTTAAATAAATTGATTACTATTTTCATTATCCAGGTGATTGTCCCAGCGAATTAGCTGGTTCGCTGCCAAGTTGTGCGTCTAATCCGGCGATAAACGAAAGCGGCAGCAGTACGACAACCTGCGGTTCACCATGTCCGTCAGGCGCACGCAGCAAAATCCGTCCAATGAGTGCTGCCGGAGGTGCAAACACCGCATCAAGTCGAAATAGTTCATGTAATCGCTCTGGAATGGCCAGGAGAGCCACCACCAGAGTTGGCGGTTCTAGGGCATATCTATCAAGAAGTCCAGTAGATTTCAGAGAAGGCCGACGTGCTAGTGATGGACTGGTGAGATTCGGATGTAATGGTTACTTATTTTATTTTTATTTCTTTATGATTGTAATTTCAGATTTATTTGCATTCTTTGTACTTTAATTTTCATCCTTGTTTTTATCTTTTCTTTTGAAGATGCTTGGTTCTTCTATATATGCGATTTTATTGTCATCTTTTGAAATAATTTTCAATAAATTTATATTACTTAATTAAATACTTAGTTTACCTATTAATAATTTAACTTGAGTAAACAAGTATCATTTTTTCTTTAATTAGAGTCTTGTTAAATGAATTTTATAGGTGGCCCAAAAAGTGACTTCACAAACGGACCGCACGAATATCGCGTTCGATAGCAGACGCTTGAACGAAGCATGCAAAACACGAGGAGTATTTGAACTGCACTTGGTGCAAAGAGAAGCCAAAATGCTGAAAACCCAATACCAAACATCTGTAACTCTCGATGAAATGAACCAAAGACAAATGCAACATGATCAATTCGCTTCTCTTGGATGTAGCCCTGAGAGTAAGTCATAAACAATGATAGCTTTTTAATAGAATTATTCTTCTTAGTAATTTCATGCTTATGGATCGTAATAATTTATTATCAGGTTTTGCTTATGTGGGCTGCGGTAATTCTGGTCAAAGTACGAATCCACAAGAAGCTGGCAACCTTGACATCAAGTCACCTCTTCAACAACAGTTGATGCAACATCGTCTTCTGCAGCAAAAACGTCAAATTTTACAAAAGCAATGTGCACTATCCAATACTTCCGGAGAAATGATCATACCACCAGGTAATAAGCGCAGATAAAAGCTTCTGATACTTAGAAATATCTATATTATAACCGTTTATTGCCAATTACCTATTTATAAAAATTGTGCAAATTTTTAGATACTATTTTTTTACTAATCAGGATTACATCAAATGACGGCGCTAACTCGTAGACAAATGTTGCGTCAACAAAGCTATAAAATGGCCCAACAAACCCAAATACTTCCTCCGCTACCCTTGGCTGAACTTGGTGAAAGCTACATCGAAGAAACGGGTCCTTGTGCATCAAATAACGCCGAAATCCAGCACCAGGAAAGGCTTTTGGCGCAAGAAAAGTATCAAGAAAGACTTGCTGCACAGCAAGATCGATTGCACCCTTTGCAGCAATCTGACAGACACATGTCTAAAGAAAATTTTCTACCTCAGGATACAGAAAAGTATCTATCTCTGCAACAGAGTCCGCAAAGAAGTTGTAATTCTGCTGCCAGCCAATTGGCGAAGCAAGAATGGACAAACTTGACGAGCACTATGCAAAATGCTTGCCATATTAATGATTTAATGGGTAGTCAAGAGTGCGCTCATATTGCTGCAGGATCGGGTAGTGGAAGACTCCAAAGTCAGTGGTCCAGCAGTGGCCATCATCTACACCAGCCACAATGGCTTCAATCCGCGCCAATACATCAGCAATGTTATCAGGTATATGGTTTTCACGAGTGATTTACAATTTTATTTATGCTTGATCTGTAGATTTTTATCGCATTATTTCATGTTTATTATTATTTTGTGTATTTTTTATTTCCTAAATTTTAAGTTTTCAAAATGGTAAAACTAATCAACAAAGACTAGCTTAAATTTAGGAAATAAAAGATTATATTAAAACTGATCTAGATGAGAGAATAAAATATCAAGCTATATTTCTGGATCACACTTGTGGTCCAGACACAATTTTAATATTAAATTAAATTATTAAAAATTTTGATTAAAATATAATTTTTGATAAGTTTAATATTAATTACAAACAGCGCAACAATTTGATCGATCAAAATACCATGTGATTAAATGAATTTATTGTCATTTATTGGAATTTAATTTGCAGATTTAATTCACATATTTGGCCTATATAAATACGAAATTTGAAGTAAAATAATTTTTCAAAAATCTCATCTAAATTAAAGATAAAGTTATGAGTTTCTTTAGGTGTAACAAAATTTAGAGTCAATTTAAGTTCTATTAAAGTGCCTATTGTTTTTGTTTTATTTAAGTAATATTCTCATTTTGATTAAGAAATTTTGTGATTACATATATAGAATTAGAGTAAGTAATATGCAAAATTATTACAATTTTATAATTTATAGTTTTTCATTTCCCATAATATTAATGTAACTTTAATATATTGGTAACTAATTTAAAGTTACACAAAAAAAAATAAAAAGTTTATTGATTTAATGTTATGAGAAATAATGCCGTGTATTATTAATTATATTATAATGATCGCATCAGGTTTTACTTTTGCATGATCATTCTGCACTATGTTTTTAAATATTTATAGTTTATTTTATATATTTATGTAAAATCTCTATCATAATTTGTAAGTTAATGTGTTTATCATAGTTTAGCTGCAATTATTATTAAGAATCTGATGACGTATTATTTCTGTAGGATTATTGAATATGCTTATAGAATTAAAACTATTATTCGTTTATTATTTATTTTATGGCTTACATTATATTTGTGATAGTTTTAAATAATTGTGATGAAATATCAGATCAAACCAAATGTATTATATATTTGTGATAATAGTTTTTTTATCAAAATTTAATTGCTTGTTGTGAAAATGGATAAACTTTGATCCGATAACATTGCATTGTCAGAAAATCCGATTTGCGGATTTCATGTTTTCTCGACATTTCAAGTCATTCTGAATCGGTTGATACCGAAATTTGGGAATATTATGTATGCGATCCGATTTTGTATCGATTTCTATAATTTAAAAGCGATTCGATGGAATGATGATAAGGAATAATCTTAATTCGGTTTGTAAGACGATCGGCCGAGCCGTTTCTTTGGAATGAAAAAAGCGTAAGATTTTCTTCCAAGTTCACACAAAAAATTTTGAACCGATTTTAAACAATGAAAAACCGTTTGATGCATAACGTTAATTATTCTACAATAAGAAAATTAAAATTTTCTGATTTTGCAACTTGTTAGTGAATCTAAAGGAAAAAGAATTACATCCAATTGCAATGATTTACAAATAATTCGAAAAAAATCACTTTTATTTATTGACATTTATTTTGCGAAAATAATTCACAAAAATTTATAATTTTCTGGTTAATATGGGTTCTATAATAATAACAAATCTTATATTGCAATATTTTAAAGAATTTCATTTAAGTCACTAATATTTATGAAAATCAACTAGAATCTACTGAAATATTTTAAAATAAGAATAATTTACGCAGATCAAAATAGCTTTAAAATTTATATTTGGCAAATTTCATTTAGGTCACCACTATTTATGAAAATCTACTAGAATCTACTGGAATATTATTTAAAATAAGAATTAATCTACGCAGATAAAAATAGTTATAAAGTCGATTTGCTTTCAATGCAAAAAACATTTTACGACAACAATTATAATTTTGATAAAAATGCTTAAAATAGCCAAAAATAATAAGTCTAAGATTATTTTTTCATAATTTACATCACAACGATATTAAAGCCCGTACAGTACTTCGAACAATTAAAAACAAATAAAAATGGTGAATCCATTATAAATTTTGTTTTGTTAGTAATAAAGTTCTTTAGTTCGAGAGCACTGTATAATTAAAAAAAACACTGAATTAATTTGTGTTAATGTGTTAAACACATTAAAGAATTAATTAGTTAATTTTAATTGGAAAATCAATATATTAAGAATGTTTTATTTTGTTATGTTGTGTGTCTTGCTGTGCATTTGCTTATGTAGACAACTATGATTTTTATATAAAATTATATATTAAAAATGCTTGTTTTATTTGCACCACTTTACAATAAGATTTAGTAAATATTCACGAATGGCAGAATTTCACCCAAAAATGAAGAATTTCAATTTCAATTAAGTAGATAAACGTTGCGATTTGTATATCCAGTTTTGAACTGGAAAATTTAATAAAGCCGAGCGCTAATACAAATTTTACTCGAATTATAGACTAAAATTCTTAGAAACTTAATTAAATTTTCCATTAGTACTTTGCTATATGATTCAAATAAATCTTCGAGCACATGAACAAATTATAGTGCATTGTAGTCTTTGAAATATTTTTAAATGATATTTACCCAAAAAAATATTATTGAAAACGTAACTCAAAAATCTTAAAAATAAAACTAGTGTACCATTAGTTGTACTAAATAGCATAAATTTTAAATCTTGCACTATTGAATTTTAAACTTATTTGTTATAAATGCATAAAGATAAGCAAGTTAAATATTCTATGAGCCCAAAATTCATTTATAAAGGAAGTTAATTAAATCTTTATTTAATTTGATTACGAATTTTTAATTTCTGATCGAAAATGTATCTATAAAAAACTTGCATATTTGTATTATATAATATATTGTCTATAATCCACCTGGCAAAAATAAACCTCAAGTCAGAATACATGGATTTGCAGATTTATCTTTGGCTATAAATCTTTTTTATATTTTGCTAAAAAGTCACGAAATGAGTTTCAAAAAAACTCTGTCCTGGTCCTAATTATTTCTTGTAATATTGGAAATGTAATTCTTAATTCATTTATTTTGATTACATATCTCATTTGTGTTTATATGAAAAGCATGTGAAATTAAAATTCAATTTTTAACTTCCCGTAGGGTAAGTTATTGTAATGGGCCGAAAATCGGAATTGAAAATTTTTACATTTCTCGACGTTTTGAAGGTTTCTGAACGTTTTGGCATACCTCAGAAAAAAATGGATGTGTGTGTGTGTGTGTGTGTGTGTGTGTGTATGTATGTATGGATACAAATTTTCGTCCACGTTTTCGGGCGTACGGATCAACCGATTTGAATGGTTTAAAAAACATTCGATTCCTATTAATAAGGAGAAGAGCTGATTAGTTTTTGGCAAAGACAGGTCCAGCAGTTACGGAGATAAGGAGCAAAGAGTGCAGAAAATAGAAATCGAGTTTTTGAGAGAACGGAGCATCCGATTTGAATGATCTAAAAAACATTCCATTAGTAATGATTGGGAGAAAGGGTTATTAGTTTTTCGCAAAGGCAGGCCCAGCCATTTCGGAGATACAGAGCTAAATGTACAAAAAATGGCAGTTTTTGAGAGAACTAAGCGTCCGATTCAATTGATTCAAAGAACTTTCTGCTTGTCTTAACAAAATAATTGATTTTGAAAAAAAAAATTTTGTACCATTTTTTTTTTTTTTTTTTTTTTTTTTTTTTTTTTTAAATTTTTTGTATATCGAAAATAATTCAGATTTTATTTTTAATTCTGACTATAGTTCTAATATACTTTAAACAAATAATTTCAACTCTGCAATTCAGTTTATATAATTATTATAAATATTAGACAATAATACAATATTTATAATAATCTATTTGAAAACATTCAATATTCCTCGAACGTTTCGTTACGGTACGGGAAGTTCCAGCAATTTGCCTTAAGGCACGATGCCACCCACCCCACTAGTTTTATTTTTCGACAAAATGAAATATAACATGTATTCACATGTATTTTAGTTTATATATTTAAACATTTAATTAGGTAGTTACGCATATAAAGTTTATAATTATGCATATAAAGTTTTGTGATCATTTTCGTAATTTTCTAATTAATTTATTCAACATTTCGGGATATGAGATGTGCCTTCCTTCGGGAACTATTAATAAATAAATAAATAAATGAAAAAAACATTTATACACTTATTTAATTATTTTAAAATTTAACGAATTCACTTTTTACCTTTATAATTTTTCAAATCAAACATTTGATAGTACATTAAGAAAATTATTGCAATGTTTTTTTTGAACAAGTTTAGTTTTTTTTAATTTTTTATTTTTGGACTTTGTATACAAGTACATTAGTCATATACTTATACTTCTTTATATGTGGTCATGTATAATATATCAATCAACAATTTTATTTTATTGGATTGTATATAAATAAAGTAAGGTGTGAATCTGTTAAATTTTAAAATATTTAAGTAGGTGTATGATTGTATAATTTTTTTTCTATTTGGTTATCAAGAGTTGCTGAAGAAGTGGACATTCCATAAGCCCGAAACATTGGATAAATTAATCAGAAATTAAAAAATCATAAATAATGATAATTATCCAGAAAAAAATGAACTACCTTACTATATATATATATATATATATATATATATATATATACGTGTATTTTAAATAGTTGTCATCGACTTACCAAGATTCATCAATGGCGACTGTATGGCACCTTCATCAACACAACTTCATTTTATCGTTACACTTTTATTTCACTTCACATTACTAATCACAATTTTACTGCAATTGATTTAAACATTAATACGTATAAAATTCCATTATCACATAAAACCAATTACTTAGATTGCCGATTTGTCAAAAATTGTCACGATCTCGGCCGTCGTGCCGGTACCTTCTGGTGTTGCGCAAGAAGTTACCTTTGAGGTACTATTGTGTCCGGCGTTCGAGTAATACTGATCCTATTTGCTACTATTTGCAATCACATTTATTAAAAATTTAGATGTCGCATAGGTCGCACCTTTCTCATCTCAC